TGTCTGAGATATTTTAGGAGCAATACCCTAGCAGCCCGGCTCCTCCATTTCCAGGGCTGCAGTGTTGCCCTGCCATGACTGTCACTTCTTGGAGCACTAGGGGTTGTACTGTATACCATTTATATTCCACACAGCATCTAACCTGAGCTTTGCATGTTTTTGGGGTTTTAAATACTTGGCAGTGGATTAGAAAATGCTGTATATCTTCATTAGTGACAGTAGTATAGTCAAATTTGAAATCATTCTCCTCTCTTTCTTATTCATTGCTTTGGAGTCAGATGAATTTGGATTTAAATATCTGTTCTACCAATCACTAGTGGTATGAACTGGGGCAAATTACTCAATTCTCCATCTAATTCGCAGGGTTGTCCTCGGAACCGTGAGTTCGCAGCTGCTGTTGTTATTGTTATTATGTTGCTTGTCTTGAAGGTAGAAGTTGCCTGGCTTGTTGCATATTATTCCACAGCTGTGAGCCCTTGAGTTTTTGTAATGGAGTTTCCATTTGGGTGGCTGTACTCCTCTTTCTTGAGGCTGCCTCTGTCCTCAGTGAGAATGCACTGTTTGCCCTGAATCTCGAAGGATGGGTAGGTGCTCATACAACAGAAATGAGAGGATGGAAAAAGGGGTCCCAAACCAAGGGAATAGCATGTGCAAAGACAGGGGGTGGGAGCATGGCTGCAGTGGGGGGCGTGTGTCATGGGCCACGAACAAACCCCTCAGTGGCCAAGCATATGGGCAGGATTTAGATCACAAAAGACACTTTAGAATATGCCAGATTTTTTTTATTAGTACATGTTTGTAGCATATAACAATTACATTCCTCATGGGAAGTTGATATATGTGCATAACACATCTTAATTCTTTTTTCATTCCTTCCCTTCCCTTCATCTCTTGGTTCCCTTCCCTTTTGTAAAAGATCTGGTTCCCTAATCTCCATTTTCTATCTTTTATTTTGTACTTTATTTATATTTTGGGTTTCTCATATAGAGAAACTGTGTAGTTCTAAGCTCATATGCCTGATTTATTTCACTTAATATTATGGTCTCAGATGCTTGTATTTTCTTACAGATGACTCAAGTATATCCTTCTTTATGGCAGAGTAATACTCCATTGTGTATCAATACCACATTTAACTTATCCATTCATCTGTTGATGGTGTGTAGGCCATTTCCAAGATTTAGCTATTTTGAATTGTGTTGCTATAAACATGGGTATGCATGTATGCTGTCATATGATTTTTTTTTTAACTCAGGAAGATATCTAGAAGGGAAATAGCTGTGTCAAATGGAATTTCTAGTTTCAGTTCTTAAGGAATCTCTGTACTGATTTCCATAATGGTTGTAACAGTTTACAGTCTCACCAGCAATGTAGAAGGGTTGGTTCTCCCTTTCCCTGCAACCTCACCAGTATTTGTTTTTTGTGTTCTTTATAGCCATTCTCTTTGGAGTAAGATGAAATCTCAGTGCTGTTTTAATTTGTGAAAATGCTAGACTTTAAACTATCAGTAACGGAATATGATATTTCAGCACAGGTCTTCATTACTTCAGTGACTCTATGAGCAAAATATTTGTATTTTAGGAATCAGGTAAAGGAACTTTGAGGCAGCGTATGGGATGGGAAGAGGACTTCTGACCCAAGTGGTGCTGCAGTCAGCCCCCTGCAGCCTGCATCAGGTTGGCACTTAGACACACTGAAATGTATCACATTCCGGTTTGTGCCAAGCTCTTTCATCATTTAGTTTTGCCTCAGGATTTCCTGGGTAGATTGAATGTCTTTATAATGTCTTTGGACATCAACCGCCACAAATTAATGCTAATTGTTGTTGGTGTACTCCAGTCTCTACATTAATGTAACTCACCCACCAGCGGTTTCCCAGCAGCTTTGTAATGCATGAGCATTACACAGACACAGCACAAGTGCCCTTCTTCTGTTTTCAGTATTGTTTCCTTCCTCAAAAACCAGCGAGGTTTGGAGAAAGGGGAGGAGGCAGCGCCGCCTCACTGCTGTGCCTCGTCTGTCCCGGGAGGGTCCAGGTTAGGCTTGGCACATGTGTCACGCAGGCCTGTATGGTAGCTGTTGGCGTCGGTGTTTCTGCCTGCCTGTGTTTGCTCTCCAGCTTCTTTCTTCTACCAGTCTCTTTCCTGGTGCTCCTCTTGCCTCACTTCCAAGTGCCTTTTCCATCATTTGTGCTCAGCAATTCTACTATTGTTCTTCCTGTCTGGTTCTCTTAAATCCAACCCACACCTTTTCAACTCCATATCCTGAGTCAAGTGTTTGAAAGCTGTTATTTCATGTTAATTAGAAGTTCTTTTTCCAGCCAAGAAGCTTTGCAAAGAACTGTTCCCCCAAGCTGAGGCTTAGAGATGCGCTCTCGCGTTTTGTACTTTAGGTACAGTGAAAGCAGTAGAGGCTAATTGCTGTGAGAGCCACCGCAGTGCCTGCAGGGCAGGGAAACCTCCCCACCACCTCCTCACCCTCCTCTGAGCCTGCCCCCAACTCTGCCACTACAGTGAGGCCAGTGGGCCTGTGGGCTTCCTGTGTTCCTCGCAGAGGTTCTCTGCTGGCCACAACTGCTTGGCAGCCTCCCTCGTCCAGGGGAGTCTATGAACCGCCCACTGGCTCTCCATCGGAGGCTGACAAGTGACCTTTTGGTAGCGTCTCCTTCCTTTGTAACACATCTCTTGGTTGATGTGAGTCTGGTGGTATATACTCTTGCCACATACTGAGCTCATGCAGGCTTTAGCAGGAGTCAGCTGCTTCTTTTACAAACCCCTTGAGACTCCCTGAGTGTGTGCCACTCCTATCTATAGGTGGCCCACTGGTGCAGCTTCAAGGGAATTTGCACTTCTTGAGCTGTTACAGGCAGAAAAGCCAAGCGGTGTCCTCACAAATGGCCTTGCTCTTTATGTCATCTGCTTGCAGATCTGGAACCACACTGTTCTTTATCATGTGACTTACCATGTGATTCATCCCAGGTTCTGAAAACTTAGGCTCAGAGAGGCTGCAGCTCTGAGCCCTCTGGGAGCCACCAGCCCCACTTAGGCTTTCTTCATCCCATTGGGTGGGAGCAGTCCATGCTAGCCCATCCTTGGGCTTAATGATGGAGTAGGGCCACACTTTCCCATCTCATAGACAGAGTCATGGCTCCTCTCCAGCACCTTTGGAAGAGGACAGTGTATAATGCATAGTTGAAGAACTCTGCTGTGTATCTTTTTTTGTTGTTGTTGTTTGTTACTGGGGATTGAATTCGGGACCTTCCACTTGCAAGGCAGGTGGCGGAACCACTGAGCTGAAATCCCGGCCCTATGCTGTGTATCTAATTTAAGTCACCGGAAATGCATTTCTTCATCTCCCATGGTTTATAAAGAAGGCAGTCAGTGAGCAGATGCTGACCAAGGGCCTGCTGAACTCAAAGCATAATCCTAGGCACGGTGGAAGGGAGGCCAAAGAGACAGAGAGGGTTAGAGCCCTTTTATATCCAGAAAACAGCTATCCAGAGGGTTACAAAGCCTCAGGGTCCTTTTCTATGGAAGAGTGATAAACACCACCTACTGAGAAGGGTGATTGCAGAGATGTAACTAACAGTGTCTGTGCCACATAGCAGCCTGGGATGACCTGCAGCTGTTCCCAGTCTTTCTCATTTTTAGATTACCATTAACAACAAACACCCACTGGTGTGAGACCTACTGAGTAGAGACGCTAAAAAGTGAAAGTGGTATCGATGGGAGGCTTACTTGTGAAGCTGGGTTTTAATTGCATTGGGGAAGAATTAAGAAGAGATGACAAGTGAGGACATGGTATGTGCAGTGACAGACTGAGGGAGAAACCCTGATGGGAGAAAAGGATGCAGCAGGATGCATGACACGGCATGGGGTGCTGAGATGAGGACAGCCAGTGGGTGGGTGCCACAGCAGACTAGAGGAGGAATTCTGACTTATTGTTTAGGTTGTGAGGAGTTACTGCAGTTTCCCAGGCTGGGGCTGAAAAGTGATTTTTGTTGTTGTTTTTATTTTGTTTTTAATGGCATTTGTGATTAAAGCTAAGGCCTTTCCACTGAACTACGTGTCCAGCCCTTTATAGTTTATTTTTCTCTTGAAACAGTGTCTCGCTGAGTTGCTTAATTGTGCAGAGTAGGCTTGAACTTGTGATGCTCCTGCCTTACCAGTGCTTGAAAATGATTATTGGAGATCTTTATAAGATTTCTGAGAGCCTGGCAGGTCCAGGGACAAGAAGACCACCAGGAAGGGATCTAGATTCGTGCTGAGACTTCTCTAGATGTGTGGTGACAAATCCAGGAACCAAGAGAGCTGAGGTTGCCATCACCCAGGCTGATGTCTGCAGAGAAACAGAGAGAATTTGGACTGGGAAAAGAAGGTTCTAGCTTAGTGCTAAGAAGGTGTGGATGGAGGCTGAAGCCATTGGTGGTAACAGAAACCTTGGTGATTGTGTAGTGCAAAAATCTATACTTGGAAAAGCAGGACCGGGTGGATAAATATGGGAGGCCTGAGCCAGAGGCCTCCCTTCTTTATGTGCCTTTAGGTCAGGCTTTTTGAAGCTTCTAAGATGGTGAGCATCATGGAGAGTTGTCTGTAGATATTTTACATGGATTGAATCCTATCTCCTGTGTGATTTTTGTAAGTAAACCAATATTTTACTTTTAATGAATTTTTGAAGTTTCCTACATAAATTAGTTTTGTTCTAAAAAGCAGCATTAATAAAATCCCTGTGTCCTGAGTATAGCTGACCACTGTAATGCTTTTAACTTGACCACAGTTAGTCACCCTGGACTGGCACTGGTGAGAGCTACACAAAGCCATATACTGATCTGGGGGTTCTGAAATCCTTGGCTCTGCAGTCCCTGCTTTCTCTAGATCATGGATGTGAATGTCCCCATTTTGAGGACAGTCACCCTGCCCCCAGGCCAAGCCCACCTCTGTCTGGCTTGAGTAATGACCCTCTGGCTTAAGCTGTGTGGTTTTTCTCCTTATCTCTCATTGTAGACTACTATTTTCCAAAGTGAAGTTGGAGTCACTGTGCCGGGGCCCAGACGAGGCACTGCTCACCTGTAAGCACATGTTACAAATATGGAAATCCTGCTACAACCTAACCAATCCCAGGTAAGAAGCCATGGTTTTCTCATGGGGCCCCCCCTAGCAGTGCCATCTCTGATGGGCAGTTAGCAGAGGCTGTGTCCCCTCACTCCCCCTCAAGTGGCAGATGTTAGTGATGGTGGGCTTCATACCATTTTCTCCCACTAGTTGATGAAGCCCCTGAGTCATGGCTTTCTTTTGCTTTTGCTGCCAGTGTGAACCACAGTCTCAAGTCACAACTGATCTCTCCAGCTTCTCTCTGCCAGCCATGTACTTAACTCCTGTGACAAATCTTACTGTCTTTCTGGCAATTTATGCATAGACTAGTCAATGATGTGTTCCAGATGAGATTCTTGCAGTACTGTTTTAAAAACCTGCGCAGGCAACAGACCACATCCTACTAAGGAGAGGAGAAATCACTATTAGCATGATAAAGTTTAACTGATTTAAAGTTAAAATGGTGACTCACACAAATATAAAATAAAGACATGCCAAAGATTTTATTTATCTCATTAACTAATGAGGGAACCAGTGAAATGTTAAGGTCCATTTAAAGAAGAATTTTTTAAAACCTACACAGGCAGAAACGCTATAGCGGATTTGCAAATAGATGTAAAAACAGTGTCCTATAAGGCAGTGTGATACATTGATATTGTTTGAGGTTGTCTTTTCTAGAGGGTGGAAATAATTGTATCTATAGCAGAGAAAACTCACTTATCCTATTATCAGTTTTCTGCAGGTTAACTTCTGGCCCTTCAGAACTGTAATGTAGCCTTCTCAAGGAGTCAGAGAAGCCTCTGTTTAGAATCAGCGTGCTGCTGACAGACACACCTATTTTCCCATTTTTAAGTCTTGAGCACTTTTTTCTGAGTATATTTAGATCACTAAGAGTGCCCTGCCCTGGAAGGGAGTACTTCAACGAAGAGGGACCTGATGGTTCAAGTGAATTCACACAGCCACTCACACTCAGGGCATGGCAAGGTGTAGATATAACCTGTGCTATGCTCTGAAGAGTCAGAAGCCTGGAAAGGTATCATTCACATGGAAAATGAGTACTGAGGGTGTGGGCTGGCAGCTGATCTGCAGAGACCAGAAGGGAGGGAAGGCAGAGTATGAGTCAGCAGAAGGGAGGTGGGATTTTATTTTTCAAAAGCTTTTACAGCTAAAAAACCAAGTGCTCAAAATGGGGCCCCATGCCCTGGCTGTCCCCCACCAGGCTCTGACCTTAGATAGACCTGTGCCCTGCCCTGGGGCAGAACAACTGAGGGAAGGAGCTCAGGTGTGAAAGCCCACACCTGGCAGGTAGCCACACAGTCACTAGGGAGATTCACTCGAGGGCCCACTTTACAGCCACTGTCTGTACTGTGTCACCGCTGCCCCATCCTCTTGGTAAAGGGTAATCATGAGCCTGGCCTCTTCCCTTTTGTGGGTTTGATCTAAAATGCAGATCATTTTAACTTTAAAAATCTGAGACTGTAAGCAAGACTGGAAACTGCTGTACCAATGAAATTGCTGGCCAAAAGGCCAGCTCCCTAGTGTCAGTCTTTGCCTCTTAACCCCACTGACAGCAGATACTGCCCCAGCTGGTTGCCGGGATGCTGGAGCACATTCTTTGCCTGTACCCCCTTTAGAAAGGAAAAAATAAACCCATCAGCTTTCATGTTGCCAATTTTCCCTCAGTTCTCCACACCTCTCCCACCTCCCCACATTTCCTCCCACTTAGCAACCAAGAATATTGAATGTGAGGAGAAGAAAATAGCAGAATTGGAAAGCTTTTTAAAAATACTTAACCAAATGCCTGGGCTGCGTCCATACTTCCTCTCTTTCCTGAAGGATCTTTCTAGGGCTGGGGGAGAACAGAGAGGACCCTGGCCTGGCTGTGAGCCTGGGCCAGGCCGGTGCAGGTGGCTTCCTCCTCCCCCAGAGCTGCTCCTCCACCTCCTCCCCAGGAGCTTCCTGTTTGTTTGGATTTTTAAACTTTATTTTCTCTGGGATATAAATAAATGTTTCTTGGCAGCCCTCCCCACTATGCAGACTGAGCCATGCTCCCAGCCTGCTTGGGTCAGAAGTGACCCAGGCTATAGAGTAAAGCATGAAGAGATGCTGTGTTCTGATGCTTCACGGCCTCTAGATGAGGTGACATGGGAGCAGCAGTTTAATCCACCTTCAGATCATACAGGGTTTTAACAAAAGGTGAAATAACATGAACAAGTGCATGAGAAGCATCCCTTTCTGCAAATAAAATAAACTGGACATTAAGCAGAAAGATTTTGGCAGGAAGCAATTAGCTTCTATCCAGAGTAGTTTCTCTGATGTCCAACTCTGTCCCTTGATTCTACTGTGCTCAGGTGTACCAGGGCCTGTACTCCACGGGGCTTCCAGTCTTCCCCAACCCTTTTTGAGTCCATCCGGAGGCTCAGCAAAGCACAGGCCCAGAGCAGCAAGAGGAGGCCGAGGAAGACGTGGGCAGCTGCAGGGAGTGAGTGGCCCAGTTGAGAATAGACTCGAGCTTCGTGTTCTAGCAGCTCTTTCCCTCTTTATTTTTGCTTAAAGGAAATCACAGTATGAGCTAGTTGCTGAACTGAGGCTTAGAAAATTTGCCAATAGGATTCCACCTGCAGTTGTAGAATGCAGCTCTTGCTGTGAGCAAAATGGTGGGTGGCATTCTCTCGAGAGTACATTTGTCGAGGCGTTTGTCATTTCAGAAGCCTGGATTCTCTTTCCCTAGCTCTGCAGTTTTGCTTGCATTTAGGATAGAAATCTGTCTCATGTTTTGTCTTTTCTCTCTTGGTAAAATGTAAAGCTTCCCCAGTTTTTGTGTATATTGACGAGGCCGTTCAAGACCATATGAATCTGACCAATTCTCCCCTGAAGGGCCCAGCAGGCTCCCTGCACTGAATAGCACAGCATTTCAGCCAGAGGTGGTAATAACTGTGTTTATTGAAACTTCTCTGCCAGTACTGTACTAGGCCAGTCATGTATTGTTTTCAATCCTTGCACTAGCTTTGCAAGATAAATACTGTTATTTCCATTTTATAGGAAATAAAGCTAAAGGAAGCGAAATAACTTTCCTGCTTTTCCACTTAACAGCAAAGCTGTGGTTCAAACCCAAGGCCATTAACATCAAAGTCCTCTCCATGATAGTCTGTTGCCTGTCTTGAGGTGACAGTTTCTTTGTTAACCACTTTTTTTCCCCTCTTGTCGCTACCACTTGATCCATACCCATTTTTAATTATTTTTTCTGTGTAGGACGATAAGTCTCATCCTCATCTGGCTGGGGAACTCACTGAGCCACAGTGGTCTTGCTCAGAGTGACTGCTCACTCATTAGTGACAGATGTGGGATAAGAACCTCTCCACGACTGAAAGAATTTTTTTTCTTCCTAAGTCTTACCTTAATCACCTGCCAACAAATAGTGTTTAAAGTTAACCACATACACATGCACTTTCTTCACCCTGGCCTCAGTGGAAGTAAGAGCCCCATTTCATACTGATAGTTGCTAGCATTTTGGTAGAACTTTTCTTTTTACAAAGCAGATTCTCATTTCATCTTCGAAGAAGCCCTTTTATCTAAAAGGGGCAAATGTCATGATACACCACACTCACATTTACTGATTAAGATTGAGGGTCAGGAATATTGAGAACTTCTCTGGTTTGCTACCCATTCCCTTTCTTAGATCCAATTTTTATTGTGTGCCACATCCTATTCCAAGAGGCAAACCTGTTACGAGAACTCCAGGTTTCTGCCTCCTAGTCTGCTACCACCACCACCACTTTGCCCTGTGCTTCACCTCCATGTGGCTGTGGAAGACAGGATTTTCAAGAAAGGTTCCCACTTTCCAGTATAACTTTAAGGGTCATTACAGTATAACCTGAACTTTCAGTCTTCATGGGGTCCAGAAGTTCCCTGGCTGTGCCCATCTGTGCATGTGAACATCTCTATAGCTTATGATGCTGTCAGTTTCCTCCTGCTAAACCATCTCCCAGCATCACTGACTAGGAGTGGTTTTCTCTCCTCAGGAAGTGCTCCTGGTCTGAGGACCAGGCAGGGAAATAGAGGGGTAAGTCAATGAGTAGTTCCAGGAGGTGTCCAAGCAGACGAGGTCCCAGAGGGAGAAAAGAAGGTGATTATCAAGACTGACCAGACTCAGAGAGTTAGGAGAGCCTTGCTTGCCCTTGTGCCTTCTCACATTCTGCAGGTTTTAGCAAAACCAGTTCTTGATTGGCTAAGACTCTACACCATGTAAATAAAAAACTAAAAATAGCTTGAACCATCCAGCAAAATTCTTAATCAATCAAAAATACCTATTATTTCTAGAAAGAAGACATTCAGGGTGGAAACAGAAGCATCTCCAGTTCATTAATTGTTGCTTAAATACTGTTTTCAAGAGGAAATAAGGAAGACAAACTGAGGAATGTTATCAAATGTAGTTACTCCACTGGTGGGAGGAGATGAATCCTGTGTCATTATCAGTTAGCAGGTTCACAAATGGATATGGTTTTAGTCAAAGCTTCTGGCATTTGGAATAGGAACTCCTTGACTTAGCTTTCCCACGCCTCTTCTAATTACACCAGAAGGCCAGGGATAAATTGCCTCTGGAATTATCCAGCTGACTTAACGTCAGATGTATGTTTGCAGGTAGGTGTATTTGTGACACCTGGCACATGCCAGGAAGTTATAGCTCTTCAGAACCCTCCATCTACATAACCTTATTCTGTCCTCACGTAGTTCTGTGTAGGACGATAAGTCTCATCCTCATCTGGCTGGGGAACTCACTGAGCCACAGTGGTCTTGCTCAGAGTGACTGCTCGCTCATTAGTGACAGATGCGGGTTAAGAACGAAGACCCCACACGGCTTCCAGGACATCCTCTTCTGGGTCCTTCCCGAGCATTGTTACTGAAAACCATCCAGGGGTGGCCACATACCAGGCAGGGCCTCCTTGGCAATGCCAGCACCCTATTGTGTTCTGGTATCCTCACCAGCATGGAAAATGTCACTACATTTTGAGACAAAGTCTTCTGAAAAATTCCCAAATGGGGAGCCATTCTAATATTCAGATAGTTAATCCTCCATAATATTTTTATGAAAATGCTGTATGAGCAGACCAATGTTAGCTTTGCAATTAGTGAAATTTGCACGTACTTTTTATGTTATCTTCTGTTCAAGTTTATTGTTTCCCAGTTGTAGAAATAATTAACGGAGCAGTCGCCAAAAAAAACCCTGTATGGGATGATGTAATAAGTGTAGGCTGACAAAGAGTCTGTACTGAAGGAAGTTTGCTCTGTTTCCTGTGGTTCTCTCTAATGCATCACTGAATGTGGAAACTGCAGCCTGTGAATTGTATCAGGTTTCATACCAAATCTTGTTTGTACTGCTTTTAGCTGCAGCTACATGGGGGAAGGAAATTTCGTCCCTTTACTGCAGAATTTGAACTTCTTAACAGCAACAAAAATAATTACTCTTCGAGCCCCCAGACAGATTATTGTGATGCAGAAAAAAAGCAGCAGTTTTTACTTACAAGAACTAAAAAGAAAAATGTCTGTATGGGCTAAGGCCTCATAAATGTTCCAGTTCCAGTTAGTCCTGCCAGAGTGTCCATGTGGGGTTGCTGAGGGAATGGTGCCAAATTTGTTTTGTGGGTGGGCTGGAGAGGGCACTTAGTAAGGTGAGGTGAGCAGTGCAAGGCTGGTGAAAGTGGTGATCTGGAACTGGACACCAGAACACTGCTGTGTCCTGTCCGAGTCCCTTCAGGTCTCCTCCAGCCCCTTTTCTCATGCCGGGAGGGGCCTACAGGGTCCAGCTCTGCTGTGACCAGCTCATTTATTAACTAGGAATTTCTCACATGTGATGTTTCTCAAAGGCTCGTCCTGGGGACACAAATGAGCCCACAACCATGGTCACCCTCTGAAAAGTAGAGAGACCAGGGTCCTCAAATCAGGCAGATACTCCTTAAAACCATCTGGCTAGCCTTGAAATCTGATTTTGCTTGTCTGGAGTAGGACATTAACATCAGGATTTTTTTGGAAATACTCTGAGTATTTTTTTGGGCCATGAAGTTTCAAAAGCACTGCTGTAGAGTGTTGCTTCATAAAGGCATCTCAGAGGAAGATTGCAAGTTCTAACCCAGACTGGGCAACTTAGCATCTTAGTGAGACCCTGTCTCAAAGTAAAAAATAAAAAAGGACTGGGGAATGTAGCTCAGTACAGAGATCCTAGGTTCAATCCCCAGCACCACAATCAATCAGTAACAATTATAAAGACACCCCTAGTGGACTGGTGGCCTGTTGGGCTCTGTGACCTCACAGCCCAGAGTTTCCCCATCAGGTGGACAGAGAACCTGGCTTAAAGTTTTCATTTTTGTATCATTTAATGACACAAGAATCCAGAACTGGCAGGGGTTGACGGGATGGCTCAGCTGTGTTCGTGATGCTGAATTCTGAGGTAACCCAGCCCAGACCAAGGCAGGAAGCAGGAACTCCTTCACCTATGGAAAGGTGCCGAGGAACAGGGCGCCTCAGCAGGCTGCCCTGTTTGGATCTCTCCTTCCTCCTTGCCACCTTTCAGGTGACTGACATTCGCAGTGTGTTTTGCAGTGACTCTGGACGGGGGAGCAGCCTCTTAGATAGAACCATCGCTGACAGACGCCAGCTTAACACAATCACTTTGCCGGACTTCAGTGATCCTGAGACAGGTGAGAATCCAAGGCCGGGGGTTGAGGGAGGGGCACACAAGACAGTGTTAGGAGAGTGTGAGGCTGGGGACCAGTGTGGGAGGAGTCTCATCGTCTGACAGCTCAGCTGCTTCATTGAGGTGCAATGCCTCTGGTCTCTTTCGAGTGTTGGTTCACAGAATGGGAAGGAATATTATTTGGCCAGTGCAACTCTGAAATGTTTCCCCTTGCTCTGGGAGCATGGAATTTGAAAAAATCCTCCAAAATTTGGTGGTTTCCATCACTATCAGGTTCTCCTCTGTTTTTCTGTGCTGCCCCTTAGGTTTCCAACATTGCTGGACTTGGTCATTCTAATCACTTTTACATATGAACACACAAACACACAGCAGAAAGACCAGACCGGGAGGGTGGCAGGTGTTCTGAGCTGCTAATTGTGCTTCCCTGCTTGAGGGCCATAGCACTTACTGCCTCTGAGCAGATATCCCCACCTTGCCCCCTAATGTCCACAGCTCCACCCAAGCGGTGCCAACAGTAACACTGACTATCCAGCAACAGTTTGGGGGACTCAATAAACAAACAACACGTAATGAAATTCACTCGCCTTCAAGCTCAGTGTTAGTTTGAGACTGTCATTTAGAATGCACCCCTGTTGCTTCCCCAGCACCTTGGGTTCCTGTAAGGCTTAATCCCTGCCTGGCTGCACCTGGACTTTCCTTGGGCCGGCTTTAGGAAAGGAGCCTCAGGCTCTCTTTTCTGATCTGTGCCATGTCCCAGCTCTCAACATAGTCAAAGCCAGGGTTCATCTGACCCCAGGTGGGTGGGAGGGACAGGGCCTCTGGGAGCTGCCCTCACAGCTACCTGAGTTCTGCACTTCTGCCTAGGCCCCCTTCCGCCAGCCCAGAGTCAGCCTGAGAAGTCTCATCCCCAGCCCTGGAGCTCCCCAGGCAAAAGATTGTTGGGCATGAGAAGCAGCACAAATTACGAAGTAGGGAAGTTTACCCTGGCTTTCAGCTCCTCCTCAAAATCCAGACTGGCTGAGCCACAGGGAAGTACCCCTTGGAGTGGTCAGCCAGTGTGGGTGGGCCTGGGTGAGGAGGCAGAGCCTGCCTGGCTGGCACAAGTACAGCAGAGCTCGGCCTCATAGGTCCTGGCTCCACACTACATGAAAGCGAGGATCAGACAACAGCCAGCAGTAGCCAGGCAGGGCCAGCTAGGAGGGAGCAACAGAAGAGAAGCTGGGAAATTCACTATAGCCCCTGCAGTGACTTGAGGCTGATTGAGAACAGCCACTGCAGCTGCATGGGACTGGGTGCCCCTCAGGCCCCTTCTTCAGTCATGGAAGGACAGGCATACTAAATCCAGACCCCCTTTCCTTCCAGCGGGCTTGGACCTGGAGGTCCTAAGACTTGAATGCCACATCACATTGAAAGAGTGACAGAAAATAAACAAGGCCCTTGCTCATGCTCCCTTTTGTCCCTTTTTCAAACATTTTTCCCCAGAGTTCTCAGAATTTTCCCTTTTCAGGTAAAACCTTCTCAGAGCTGCCAAGTGTGTTTTGCACACTATTAATCTAACTGAGAATCCAGGGAAGCAGGAAAACAGGAGGCCACGTGGAGAGCCCTTGTCAACTGTAGGCTATTTGTAAATGAGAATAAAAAGTTCTGAAATGATGGTGTGAGTTGGAAAGACTGAAAGATTAGGAAGGCTCACTCTCCTAGAAGTGGAGACGATGCCTCTTCTTGGTTAATAAAGCCAAGTTTTGTTTAGTTTGGCTTACAGTGAAGTCGTGGGAGGGGCAGCTCCTTCTCATCTCATGTACCATGGGGAAAGCCCATCTTGGGAACCACCCACAAATTTGGTTTATTCTCATGTCAAGAGGAAGCACATATCATAATTCAAAAGCCAAAACTAACTCAGAATGTACCACGGAGGGATTTTGCTTCCGTTCCTGTATGTCCATCTTCCCTTTCCCAGGAGGTAACCATTTCTCCTTGCTTTTTGTTTACCCTTCCAGTGTTCTTTCATGCAGATAGCCACATGTGTTATTTCCTAGGGCTCTGACACAAGCAGTCAAATACTCTGAATGCTGTTCAGCCCTTGACACTTGTCACTTCCCAGCACATCCTGCAGGTGCCTCCACACCCATCCATGGAGAATGTCCTCATTCTTTCACAGCTGTGGCCTATTGCAGGACTCCTATTTTACTTTGAGTTCTTACCTCTCTAGCATGATTTCATACTTCCCTTTGCTGCAGCTTTCAGCCCCACCTGAGCTTAAGATCAGCTCATTTTGAACATCCAGGGCAGCACTGCCCATTTAGCCAGAGCAAGCAGACTAGAAGAGCAAAAGAGGACAGGAACATATCTGAGCCTGGATGGTTCCAAAGTTAACAGAAGTGGCCCAGATCAAACGTGGTCTGGGCGAACCCAGCTCTGTTGGGTGGCAGCGTGTCTTTAGCACTGACCCATGCCATGCTGATGCCTAACTGCTTCCTAAACTGCTTTCCCTTTGAAGGGCACGGGCACCTGACACAAGCAAAGCCCCAGGGCTGACATTGGGAGGGATGCATGGCTAAAGCCATGCTGAGCTGCTGTCCTGATCCTGCCAAACTGGGGGCATAGGGCCCAGTACCCCCCACTGTGGAGAGGTTCCTTCATGAGGTCCTCTTGAAAAAGTTCTGTTTTCTCCCCAGAACTATATTTATTTTTTATTTTTTTATTTCTATGGTGGAAAAGTTTCAAGTGTACCGGAGGAGAGATACAAATATAATGAATGAATTCCCATTGCCTACCACCGAGCTTTAGCAATTAGTACTTTTGTTTCATCTATTTCTCCTGTCCCATGCTTTTTTTTTTTTTTTTTTTTTTTT